GTAAGTATAAAATAATCCCTCCTGTTAAAACTCCTAAAGGATATCAGTAATTATCTTTTGCACTGAAGAAAACTGGGTCACATGTCTGACTCTATGCCATCGAAAGCAGAAGAGGGATATAATAACCATGTCTGGTTTAGCTGGACCTGGGACTTGTCCTGGAGTCAGCTTTCCTTGAATGCATGTTTGCCTTACACTTACATAGACTTGGAAGACTTTTAGTAGAAAGCAATGAATGACATAAAGCAGCGACTTTCCGACAAGGTGAATTAAAGTAAACGGTCAAGTTCTCTAAGGAGCAGCTTGGCTTTGTGGACAGGGTGTGAATTCATGTACAAAAGACTGGACTTCAATTTACACATGGGTCTCCTTGGGTAGAGCAGTCACTTGACATCTCTGAGTCTCAGTTTTCTCATGAATTGGAAAGGTGAATCTTAACCTTGGAGAGATTAAGCAGTGTGAATCCAGCCCTAGTTTAGAACCTGGAGAGCATAAGTTGTCCCTGAGGTTAGGTGGATGAGGTTAGCGTATCATTGGCAAGCACTGTGTGTTACATGCTCCTTGCCACAGAAACAGAGAATACAGTTCGTTGATCTGTTTTGAGAGGGAGTAAGTAATGGAATATAAGGCGCTATGAGTTTTACTTCTGCTTGACAGATGTGCTCATTTCTATATTTACGTACAAGAGCTATGAGGAAATGAAGAAGGGGAGCAGGAGGGGAAGAGAGGAAAGGGGGAAGTGGAATAGTGGGTGACTGCCTTTAGTACATACCCGTAATACGGAAATGAATTCCTGAGAGTGCAGGAAGTGGCCTTCCACAGCCAATGAGGAATCTTGTTAGGATACGTGAACTCTGGTGTGGGGTTTGGGGAGCTCCAGAGAGGGTGTCTGACTGTCATAGCTGTCACCCCGCCAGTCCTCTCAGAGTGGATGCAAGTTGGGTTTGGCTTCATGTCTTTTTTCCCCCCATCTTAGTTTGAGGGTTGGTTGGTGCTGAAGACAGGGTCTCCACAGCCAGCTCCTTTTTTTATTTGTTTGTTCATTTCAGGACAGGGTCTTGAACGGAAGCTTCTACTTCCAGAATGCTGGGACTACAGAAGTGCACCATCACACCTGTTGGTTGACGACTTTCCGTGATTATTTCAGCTGTGACTCCTCAATTATGTGGCTTCTGCCAGGGGGCCCCTTAAGCAGATCAAGCTACACAACTGTCTTGCTATGCAGAGGGCCTAGTCCAGTCCCATGGAGGCTCCACAGCTGTTGGTTTAAATTTCATGAGTTCCCACTAGTTTGGTTTGGTTGTCTCTGTAGGTTTCCCCATCATGATCTTGATGCCCCTTGCTCATAGAATCCCTCTTCTCTCTCTTTGACTGGACTCCTGGAGCTCGGCCTGGTGTTTAGCCGTGGATTTCTGCATCTGCTTCCATCAGTTATTGGAGAAAGGCTCCAAGATGACAGTGAGGGTATCCCTGGTACATGAGCTGGTTTTTTGGAGCCCACAGCCTTGAGGCAGGGGGAAGGCCTTAGATCTGCCTCTACTGAATGTACCAGGCCCTACTGACTCCCCATGGGAGGCCTTCCCTTCTTGTAGGAAGGAATGGGGGATGGGTTGGGGGGGCTGAAGGGGCGGGAGGAGGGAAGAGGGGGATCTGTATGTAAAATGAATAAAATTTTTCTTAATTAGAAATATATGTGGCTTCAAAGGGGTAAGAGAAGCAGTGAATTAGTGAATTGGGTCTAGGAAACTCACTGCTTGACTGATTTTTTTTTAACTTGACAAATTTTTTTCTAAGACATATGTGGGATGAGGGACACTCAACTGAGGGACTGCCTCCATCCTAATAGATTGTAGGCAAGCCTGTAGGGCATTTTCTGAATTAATGGCTGATGTGGGAGGACATTGCTCACTGTGAGCTGTGTCACCTCTAGGATGATGGAAAGCAGGCTGAGCAAGCCACTAAGCAGCACCCCTGCAGGGCCTCTGCATCAGCTCCTGCCTCCAGGTTCCTGCTGCTTGAGTTCCTGCTCTGACGTCCCTCAGTGATGAACTGTGACCTGGGAGTTACGTAATGAAATAAGCCCTTTCCTTTCTCACGTTGCCTGTGGTCTTTATCAAAACAATAGGAAGCAAACTAAGGCAGAAGCCTGTCAAAGGCTCCAGCTAGCACCTCTATCTCCCACTGGCACCATAAGCACCATCAGGTCTGCTGGATCGTATGGTCCGGGTGGTACGGCATTCTGCACACACAGAAGCCTGGACCTGTGGAAAAGCCTCCTCCCGTTCCTGGTCCCACTCATAGCTAGCACTTCCCTGAATGACTTGATATATTGGCCAAAATAACACACCCAAGGGAGGAATGTACTGCTTCCAGAATCCAAACGAGCCTACTAAATGTTGTGCTTTTTTTCTTGGTGATGGGAGTGCCCAGGTGCCTCCTTCATCTTAAAAGGAATGTTTCCACATGCCCCACACCACTGGACTCCTAGAAGTTTCACCAAAGTAGAAAGTCTTTGAATTTTGGTTGGATTTATTTCCCATCCTCTGATGCACATATGTGCTACCAGCAAGTCCAAAGTATTTGCTACCTTCTGCCCACTTAGTCCAATCAGCAGAATGTCGTCAATATAGTGCACCAGTGTGATATTTTGTGGAAGAGACCAATGTTTAAGATCCCTTTGAACTAGAGTTCATATAACCTGGAGGTAAAACTGTAAACATAAACTGCTGACAACAAATGACTTCAGTGGTCCTTATGCACAGGTAGAGGGAAAAGGCATTTGCTGGATCAGCAGCTGCCTTCTAGGTACCAGGAGATGTGTTAGTCTGCTCAAGAAAGGACACCACACCTGGCCCAGCAGCTACATTTGATTGAGTTTGTGACAGTCAACTGCCACTCTCAATGACCCATTTGTCTTCTGCACAGGTCAATTAGGAGCGTTGAAGGGATTTGCAGTGGGAGCTCCATCTTTTATGTCTTCGATGTGGCACTAATTTCTGAAGGAATTTGGTGTTGTGTTTGGTTGGAGGACACATAGACCAGGTAGTAGAGGACCAGCAACTTTCCAGGGCTTTGGCATTAGCACTGCAGAGACATCCAGTCTCATGGACTGAACAACTACCAGATTCTTAGCTTTTCCATTATGAACCAGACCTTGTTGGACCTGAACCTGGACCACATCCTTAAGCCAGTCTAATAAATCCACTTTTATTGTATGTATTCATTCTATCAGTTTGGTTCCTTAAGAGAACACTGAGTATACTGTTGCAGCAGCATTTCATAGGCCACGGTTCCTGGTTCTTCAGGCGTCACCCAGCATTAATAAAAAAGGCTTACAAGACTCTAAGCATCTATCTGGAACACAATAAAGACAAAGTGCCTATCTTATTTTTCACTGTATATGTGGTTGGAAAGTTTAAAGAAAGATAGACACAGAGTTCAAGAGTTTACTTGTTTGCTTTTCAAGACGTGCTTGACTAATTTGGCAAAACTGATCCCTGTTACCAGTCTACATTGTATGAAGTATGAACCACCTTGCTCTGAACTAGGGAGTAGTAGACACCACCCACGCTAAAATTATAATCACTTGGCACACATCTCCGTGACCCGTGCTTGCCTGTAAACAAGCGCCAGCAAAGGATCATTTCCAAGACTGATGCATCACAAGAGGGAGGTGTTCTGGATAAAACTCAGACATGAAAACTCATCAGCCAAGGCATCAGGCAGACTGGTGTTAGGGCTCTGGAGAAGTCCCACAAAAGACCACCATCCATGTACACAATCAGCAAAAGCATTTATTATCTCAAAAATAAAGGTACCGGCATGCTGGGACCACACATTCAACACAAAGACAAAATGATGACCTCAAGAGAGGCTCGCAGGCTCCTTTTTTTGTGGGGGGCCCAAAACAGCTTGACCACACAACTTCCATGACAGGCTTAGAGGCCCAGACACAGCTTCTGTAACAGGCTTACTATCAGGTAACACTTGAATCCAGAAAAAAACCATGAGCTAACCCACCCAGGAAGGGCCTGCATCTAAGGGGAAATATCTGACATTCCAAACATTTCCTATACCTCTAGACAAATGTCAGCCAATCAGGGTCCTGAACCCTAGAAATCCCCTCACCCCAACCTCTGCTGTGATAAAATGCCCACCATGCCTGGGCTTGGGGCTCTCTGCTCTCACCGCTGAGTCAGACAGATATCCCAAGCTTCAAGCTTAAAATAAAGGCTCTTTGCTTTTATATATGGGATTCTGTCTCCATGGTGGTCTTTTGGGGGTCCCCACAATCTGAGCATAACATGTGGGGGCTTGTTCTGGGATCCCCCAAGCCCACCAGGACCACTGCCCATAGAGCCTGAAGCTGGCCAGTACATTTTCTGTGTGTCCGAGTTTACGTTCGTGTTTTCTGTGTTTACTTTTGTTTGGAAATCTTTTTGTAAATGGACTTTTGGGATATCCTTTTGTAAGTGAGCCCCAAATTTGTAAGTACCTGCAGAAGATTCTTTGGACGGGTTTGGATCCCTTTGGTAGATTTGTATTTGAATTTGATTTGTATAGCCGGGGACGGCATGACCCCAGTGTCTTCCTTTTGGGTTTGTCTCCAGGCACTAGGAGAGCTGTTTTGTTGTCTTGTGTGTTGTAATTTTGTTCTCTTCCTGACTTACCAAAACTATAGACTCTTATTTTAGGATTTTTGAGTTGGTCCGCTGACACTGTTTCCTTAGGAAAATGTTCTGTTTGCCTTTCTGGTGGAATGTCCTGCCTACGTGAATGTGTGAGAAATGTGGCCACAAGTATGTGTATTTTATGCCTGGGTTTATGTACATGCTGTGACTCCAGATAGAAACTGTACATGGACAGCCTTTGGGGCCGGATGGCCAGCAGAAGGGACAGAGGGTCCCTTTGGTTGAACTGGGACAGACTAAGTGTTAGAATTCTGCCCTCACTCCAGCTACATGACTGCACATGCGCAGTTCAGGAGTTAAGCAAAGGGTCTTGTGTATTACATCATCAGTGTGCGCTGGTGACTACGTACGTACGTGCGGTGTGGTCATACAATCTGCACCTTAAAAAGCCAGATGCAGACCCCACCATCTCTCTCTGCTCTGCTCTCCCCCCCCATCTTTCTCTCTCTTTCCTCCCCAGGCCTGGTTCTTTTGTCCCTCCTCCCCTTCCTCCTAGTAAAGCTCTTTGCTACTAAGCAACCCGGTTCTGTATGACCGTGACCTTTCCGCCAGTAACCAGCACCGTTTATCATTCATTTCACTAAGAGTACTCCTACCCCCCATTGCTCCCTTGCTCTTGGACCCAGAGCACATGCAGCAGCAGGCAGAGAAGCACACTGTTGTGGTGCTGCATGTCTGGTGAGCAGCGGCAGGGGCAGGGGCAGGGACTTGGGTCACCACCGAGCCAATGGGCGCTTGGGCAGGCCAAGAGCACTGCAGGGCTGGACACCACAGGTTGGAGACCAGGCTCCTGTGCCGGGAGCCTTGGGGTGGAGACTTTGCAGTGCTGAGCAGGCAGGAGCTGGTGGGGGCCTCACAGAGCTCAGAACTTGCCTGACCCGGGCATACAGTGGGGCTGGCAGAGAACTGCCCCTCTGGGATCACAGTCAAGGAGTAGCCAACAGGAGCCCTCCCCCGGAGGGGCATGGAGTCCCTTCCAGTTTGCCAGTCTTGTGCACTTGAGACTCTGAGGTTAACAACAATCTTTTGTCCCCATGCTGCATGCTGGCTGTCCCCTTTCATGCTGATGGGTAGGGCTCCCAAGACTTGCCCTGGGGGCTGCCTGCCAAACCTGACCATGGTTTGGCTCCAAGAGTGGAATGGAGTATCACTGCCTATGGTTGCTAAGCTACGGCTATGTTATAATCCCGCCATCAGGGCTACTTTGATCGTTCAGATCCAATAGATTATAAATATTTGTCATCATTTAGAGCGGTTGGCTACAAATTATTATTGGTTAAAAAAAAAAAAAAAAAAAAAAACCCTACTGCTAGTTTCAGATGCTTCACGTTGGTACAGTGTCCACGTAAATTTAGAGTTATTCTTGTTATGGTATATGCATCTGTTGTTGTTTGAAATATTTTAGCCATACAATGTATTCTAGACTACTGAGGGGAACCACAAAAATGACTAAGTTTCTGTGTTTAAAAACAAGAGAGGAAGCAGAAGACTGGAATAATAAAGAGAAGAAAAGGATAAGAGGAATGTGAAGTAAATGTCTGAGGAATCAAAGGTATGGACTGAAGGTACATAGAAGGTTGTAGAAGGCCAGAGGGGATGTGATCTATGTTGAGGTTTCTCGTACCTGCAAATACTGAATTTAAAATTTGACCATATTAGGTTAGTTCTGGTTGGTTTTCATTTTAAGAAAAACCAAAACAACAACAACAACAACAACAAACCCCAAAACAAAAACAAAAACCCCTGATGATTCTTCACTGCAAAATGTTTATGTTAAAAATGGAGATATATACAAGTGTATGTGTTGTTTATGCTGTGGTACTGATCCTCGTGGCTGGTCGTCGCCCATGCCGGCGGAGGAGCGTGCTGATTGAAAGAATCACAGCCATGGTTACCTTTTAGAGCTTTATTGGGGGGGGGGGCCGGGGAGAGGGGAGAGACGGAGGAGAGGGAAAGAGGGAGGGGGAGAGGGGGAGAGTGGTGCTGACGGGAGGAAGGAGCGGAAAGGAGAGGGAGAGAGAGAGAGAGGAAAGAGAAGGAGGTCCAGGCAGAATGAAGGAGCGGAAAGGAAAGAGACAGAGAGCGCACAGAGGGCCCACCCGCTTTTTAGGCTAAGACACCGTTGAAGGCTGATGACGTAATTAAGGACCGAATCCTTACAGTATGTATATGGACAAGTATGTGACTTGGATTTAACTCTATATGTGTGAATATAAGCTAGCTTTAACTCTGCATGTATGTGTATGTAACTTGGATCCAATTGTGCGTATGTGTGCATTTAAGTATTTTAGAAAAACATGTTTTAAACAGCAATCACATGGCTTTCCTCCATCTTGGCTGGGGACCTCATCATGATGTAGGCAGCCATGTGGCTGACAACCATCTTTTACTAGGGTTATAAAGATCTATTCAGATTAACAAAAGCTAACTTAAGAGATTTACACCTAAGTACTTATGTCTTTGCCAAGTGTTCAACAAGCTTCTAGAAAATTTAAATAGATGGCTACATGTGTTTAATAAATAAGATATTTATTAAATATTAAAGCTGAAACTCAATGCTTTTATACACAAGAATATACCTTGCTCTGGCAACTAAACTTTGTAATGTAAGAGTCACCCAGGTGATATATCACCAGAAACTGTGATGCTCATTTCTTGTGATACAGCAAAACAATGACCTAAACAAAGGGCTTTGAATAACTTCTGACTCCATGAGTCTTGACCCTTTGGGGACTAAAAGAAAAAAAAAAACAAAAAAACCTTTGTACAGGGATAGCCTAGGACCACCTGTGTGTCAGATATTTGCATTGAGATTCATAACAATGGCAAAACTGCAATTGTGAAATAGCAATGGGAAAAATTTGGTAATGAGGGGGTCATCATCACAACATGGGAAACTATATTGAAAGGTCAAAGCATTGGGAAAGTTGAGAACTAGTGGCTTGGAGAATATTTCTCCTTACTCAAGGACTATTCAGGCTTAAGAATGTATGTCTAGCCTCTTTGTCTTTGCTTAAGCTTAAGCAGTTTGGATAAACTGAGTCATATAAATGTTTTATATTGATTCTAAAAGAAACCTCAATTGAGAAATTGTTTTTAAGGCTCATACTTAACAGAGATAAAACTATAAAGTCTCCTCCCCAATGTCAGGCTTTTAGATAAAGCTCCCATTCCCTCAGGGGCTTGGAGAAAGTTCCCGCTTGCTAAACAGGGAGCCACCCCCTTTATCTTTGGTAAAAGGAACTTATGGCCCTTCCATTAACATATGGCTATTTTGTTTTGGTTTGTTTACTGAACCTGTATTTGATACTATAAGAGCTTCAATTCAAAATCATTGTTTTTAAGGCTACCTTTTGTAGACTATTAGAGAACACAAGTAAATAGTACCTTATAAATAATCAAGTTCTTTAATTGTAGTCATGCTAAGTACTGATGTAATTAATTACAGGGATAAGCTTTACTTAGTCCCTTGCATATGTTTTCAGGGTTGAGTTTAAAACAAGTAACTAGAATAAAAGTTTGTCTGTTCAGATATCCCTGGACAGCTCTCATACTTCAGTGATCTGCAGAATATGTTGATCTAAAAGCTTATTATATCAGACAGACTCCCAGATCTTAGCAGTGATCCAAGGTCTGCAAAGAAGATTACGGGGCACCACAATGTCTCCAGCTGGATTATGGCAATCCTGACCACAGAGTGAGATGCCCTGATACAACACCTGCTGTCAGGACCTGACGAAGTCTGTGGACAAGCAGCAGGACACTGGAGAATCGATTGCATTTCTTTTGCCTAGACAAACTAAGATCAGTCTTCCTCGTGTCCCTCTTTTATAGGAAAAACTTTCTCCTTATGGGCCTGATGGCCAAAGAAGATTGATGTTGTTCTGATACTTGTGCCTCTAATGCTATGGAAACCTGGGTATGGACTAGTCGCTGTCATTTATAGAACGGAAGCTGCTTGGTCTGCACTCAGGTATAATTTATCCTTCTCAGATCTCTGATAGTACTGACAGCTAGGCTAGCTATAACTTTGTCAGCTTGGTAGCATCAGATAACCAGATCCTTCCACAAGGCTATAGCCAGCTTGTTAGCTCATTTTTAAGAAAGTGTTCTAAGATATGAAAGTTTAAATAAGTCATAAAGGTTTAAATATGGATCTGAAAAAAAGGTATAAGGATATGAACGTCTATACAAGTTTTGAGGGTCTAAGAATGTTTTAAGATATATAAAGTTCTGAAGATATAAAAGCTTATAAACTTTGAGGATCTCAAAAAATGACTTAAGATATAAATGCAAATTATAAAGATATAAATAAACGATTTAAATTATGAAAAATGTTTCAGATTGCTTTCCCCTTCTATGATATAAAAGTTTAGAGCTTAATTAACATTTAATAGAGTTCTGATAAGCTGGTAGAGCAGTGACTACTTACTGTTCAGACACAAGCTCAACATTTTAGATTTATTTTAGTTGTCATCTAAATATAAACTTAAAAGTGCTTTTCATCAGGCCAAAAAAAAAACTCTGTCCAATTTATACCTGGCTCTCTGGACAGAAGTAAAATCCATGTGCTTTTAACCTAAATCTGTATTTTTTGCTAGGACTCATAAAAGGTATGAGTTTACTTCTGCTGTTTTACAGATACCTATGACTTGCTTTGTCTATGATATGGTTTTCAGTACAGATTGGTAATCCTAATATATCTAAAACTTTTATGTCATTTTGTAAGATAATTTATACAGGCCTCAGAGGATTAAAAGAGTCATAAAACTTGGGTCCACTTCACAGAGGTTAGAAGGACTCCAGAAAAGTACAGCTTAAATTTTGACTACTTGTCTATTCCTACGGATAATATTTTTTCTCTCTCCTGGTCTTGGGACTCCTGCCCTTCCCAATTACTAAAGACTATGGGCCTAAAAGTTCCAAATAAATTTATAAATTTTGACTTCTGTTCCTAATTTAAAATTGTCTCACCAGGTTTCCACTTGGTTGACAGTCAACTCGAAGCTTCAGCTGCTGACTACACTGCTCCAAACAACTCGAAGCTCGGGATTCACTAAAAGCTGATGTGGACCAGCCCAGCCAACATGATTGTTCCCCATCTCTACAGCTGGAACAGATAGCCACATGCTTCTGACAGATGCCCCATTGCCCAGCCTTTGAGTAGCTTTTCAGCATTTTTTGGAACCCTGACAACAATGCCCCAAAGTCAGCTCAAAGCATTTTCACAAGAGAATGTTGTCCCACATCCTCTGCCAAAAATAGGTTGAAATGCTGGGTCAAAAAGGAAACTCCATGGCATAGGGGACAAAACGGTTAACTATAATGCCCATTGACAGACTAGGAAAACAAGTTCAGAGTTGTCAGTTGATAAATTTATTAACTAAAATGGCTCTGCAACTGGATAAGATACTTGATTCTCTTTGTGAAGAACCAAAGAGGTAATATATGGCCTTAAACATATTATTCAAGATTATAATCTAGTTGTATTCAAAGATCAGTGCTACAGGGCCTTAAGAATAGCAATAGACACAGATGTCCCTGACCTAGAAAAATCTGTGGTTCTTAGGTCCCAATACCCTTGAACCCCTGGGTAGATAGGACTCGTGATTGAGTCCTGTCATTGGCACTTGTGAAGGAGAGAATGTGGGGGAGCCCAAAATAGCTTGACCACACAACTGCCACGACAGGCTTAGAGGCCCAGACACAGCTTCTGTAATAGGCTAACTGGTGGGTAACACCAGGATCCAGAAAGAGCCATGAGCTGACCACCCAGGGAGGGCCTGCATCTAAGGGGAAATACCTGCCATTACAAACATTCCCTATACCCCTAGACAAATGTCAGCCAATCAGGGTCCTGCACCCTAGAAACCCCCTCACCCTAACCTCTGCTATGATAAAATGTCCACCCTGCCTGGGCTTGGGGCTCTCTGCTCTTACCACTTCATCAGCAGAGAGTCCAAGCTCCGAGCTTGAAAATAAAGGCTCTTTGCTTTTACATATGGGATTCGGTCTATGTGATGGTCTTTTGGGGGTCTCCACAACCTGGGCATAACAAGATGATGAGTTCTGAATTTTTACAACTCATATTGATCTGCAGGGTGATAATAATGAAGCAAAAGAGTTCACAGGTGGCCATTCCCTGTTATTCTGTGCCGCTGGGCTGATATTTCATTCTCAGACTGCAATTCATCTCCCTGCCTCTGAAAGTCATTCTTGGCCTGTCTTCACCCCCTTAGGTAAACATGCATGCCACTGTATTGCAACATCCAGGCTTTTTGCTCAATAGCCATCTGCTGGCATGGTGGGCATGCTTTAGGAAGGTCTTTCTCATGGTCTGGCTTGGAAGAAATGAAAACCTTCTAAAGAGCCACTTTGTGTCTCTCAATCTGACCATCAGACTACAGGAGCAGTGCACCCCAAAGAAATGGAAATTTCCTTGAGAATCTCCCACTGGGAGAAGGAAGAGATACCAGCAGGGTCGGGCTTGGGGTTGTCTCTTGAGGCTTCAAACAGTTCTAACAACTAGTCAGACTACCTTACAGGAGCAAGACTGAAGCACAGTCAGTGGTGGTGGTGGGGGGCGGCAGGACCACACCTTTACTGGAGCTGCTTAGATGTGCATTTCATTGGTGCTCTATTTAAACTTTGATCTTACTTCAAGAGCCCAGGGACTGAGTGTTCACTGAATAAAATCTCCTTTTTCTGCTTTCCATTATTAATTTGCATGTTTTTATTGACTTATAAATGACAGGTGGCCAGCCCTGACTTGGGGTACACGTTGTGACCCCACATTCACAATCTTACTACTAACCCTTTGCAAGGAGAAAGATAAAAAATAAATAGCATTTTGAATCATAAGACTGTATTACTTCTAAAAAATGTAATTCAAATTAATAAAGAAGAAAAATAGTAAAAAAAAAAAAAGACTACACTTTTTTCTTTTTTGTTTTTAGAAATAGATGGAGTTAATAGTAAGAAGACAGAAAAGGAGACCTGGGTAGCTCTAAGCATTTATTTGCCTTGAGTCTTTGTTAATGGAAATGTGTTTTTAAAGTCACGCATTTCTACTGTGGCTGGTGGGTAGAGCTTGTGGTTACTGTCAGTAACCAATCAGGCCAGGGTTCAAGGGTCACCTGTGTGCTCAGACCTCTGAGCAAGAAGACAATTGCATGATATCAATTCTCCACAAAGCCAGGTGGGCTGGTTCCAGATCACCAAGGACCCACAACCCCAGGATGTCACAAGGGCCACTTCAAATCGAGGCAAGAAGACTAGCAGTATTTTTGTCTTGTTAGATTTTTAAAGTAAATTTTTAAAATCAAGGGCTTACAAAAGAAGAGTCAGGCCTCTTGCAGGCTCTCTACCATTAGGCCTCATTCTAAGGCAAATAGCTCTTTCTAGAGCTTGTTGATAGCCTCGGAAGGTTCCTAGTGCACTCTGGGTTTGGGGGTTACTGCTCTGAGTATGGTTGACCTTTCCTCTCATGGTGCTGAACTGTGCTAGATCTGGACTTTAGGGCATTGACCTATAAGCAAATAGTGTCCTGGAAAAGGCCTGATTTCTGTTCAATGCTTCATTACGATGTAAGCTGAACTTGGAAAGGGGTGTACAACCCTGACTTTCCACAGTGGAGTCTCTTGCTTCTCCTGGCTTCTTCAAATTCACAACCATAGGTAAGTGACTTGCATTTGCCTGTAACATTTTAAGTCTATGCTTTCCAAGTCTTTTTTGTTGAAATCTCTGTTTATTGGGGTTGTGCTTCAGATTTACCCAAATCCTAGTGTTGTCTTAAGATAAGGCTACAGCCCTTGGGTCATGTGTGAAGGTGCATGGCTGGTTTCTTGGTACATTCAATGAGGAAGCTTAGTGACTGTCTTACAACAATGCCAGTTTGTACATCAGCTGTCTTGAAAATGTGTGTGTGTGTGTGTGTGTGTTAAAAATGGGTAAATAGATTGAAAAAAATGTATCACCCAAAGTAAAAATTCCAGAGAGATGCTCTTTAAACATGATGTTATAAAGTTTGGTGTTATAAAAGCATGATCCTATTTGATCTAATAATCACAAAATCTCAAGCCTTACCTGAGACTTTTAAATACCTGTTAGTCTTTTTGTGCCTGAAGCTCTTCATAAGCTTCCATTGTTCCTGGGATAAAGCCCCAAGACCCCAGTGTTAAAGATCACGGGGAACCAAGGGATCAAGGGCAGCTCCAGAGGTGGCCTGTACTCCCCCTCCCCCAGACCCGCAGTATTCTTTAACCTTTGCCCCTGTTCTGTCTCTGGGGTCTGGGCCTTCCATACGCTCCTCCCTTCCCTGTCTAGTTTGAGTTTTTCTCCAGGGCAAATTCTTGGTGGACGTGTTTATTCCAGAGCTTCCCAAGCTGCTGCCCACGCATCCCCTTCACGTACGGTCATCACATTTGCGGTTCTTCCATGAGTCTGTCAGCCGTCTTTTGCTTAGTCCAGAAGCTCCATGGGGGGGAAGCTAGTTAGAAGGCTGGAGCTCTAGACAGTATTTTAGTTGAAAAATCACATCCTTGAGGATTTTCTCACTGTTCTGAACTGACTCCGTGGTACTGGAGTGGGAGGATTTTCTGTAAAGAGCCAGAGAGTTAATACAGTGAAGGACATTCAGTTTATGTCAGAGATACTCAGTGATGCAACAAAAGACAATAAAAAAAATGGGTGAGTGTAATAACAATATTCCAGTAAAACCATGATTCAGAGAGAGAGGGAGAAAGCACGCAAGCAGGTAGTCAGCTGGTTGCCTTTATTGCAGTAGGACTATAGGATTTTTTACTCTGAAATCAGTTTCTGAGAGTCTGTTTCTCCTTCTTCCCTCCCTCCCTCCCTCCCTCCCTCCCTCCCTCCCTCCCTCCCTCCCTCCCTTCCTCCATCCCCCCTTCCCTTCTGTAATACCAATAGTCAGTTGTTAGTGTGGACCAGGCCCTTTGAGAAGTTCAACCCATTCATCTGCTGCTCTAGTCTGATATTTCCACCATGCCACAGTGCATCTTGGCCACCATGAGGTGCACACAAGAAACTGGTGGACATTGACTTTTTTGTGTTCCCAGGATCTTTGCCCTGCACCTGCATGGCTCTGAGGACCCTGTGTCCATCTCCCTCATCTGGAGTGTCTGCAGGGTCCCTCATTCAGACTCTTCTCTGGATGCTATCACACCCCAGGTTCTCCCAGACAACCCAGGCAGATGCTTGTCTCTGCCTTTCTGCTCAGCAGTGGACTTCTACAAGCTGGTGCTAATGCTCTAAGATAGAAAGATTGTCGCTGTGCCTGCCAGTTATGACCAGGGGACTGACCTTCAGTGTTTGTTCCTGAGTTAATAAGATTCCATCTTTTATCTTTTATCAACAGAAGTTGAACAGAAGCTTATGTAGTAGGCAAGTTAAATATCACATGTCATTGGACAGAGAAAGACACTGAGTGTGGTCAATTAAGTCTTCTTGAGGGGTTCCTATTTAGGTAGCCAAGTCAGCCAACCACTGCATAAAAATCTTAATTTCTGCTTTTAACTGCTAGATTCTCTGATGTTTTAGAAAATTGATTTTTTTTCTGAAAGACCTTGGAAATTCTCACTCTTTTCCTGAAAGATTTGGGGGAGATGAAAACAATTCAATATATAAAAAATTCAAATGAAAAGCAAAAAAATCTTGAAAGAAAGCATAAAATCTTGTTTTCAGCTCTGAATTCTCTTGTGTTTGTTAAAAAATTATTATTGCAAATTATGAACACATTCTGATTATGGCTTTTGGCAATGGATAAAATAATTTAGGTGCTAATTAAGCATTAGAAGGAATTAGCTGAGAAAGCATTGTGATTGCTTCTGTTGATAAGGGAGACAAGACAAAAACAAGATAAACTTCTGAAGGAGGGGGCTTATCCTGAAGATCCTGGCAAACAAGTCTGTTTATCATTGAAAACTGGGTTTCTCCACAGCCCTCCGACATCCAGTAGCTGGTCTGCCACTTCAGTTAAGCTCTGTTATTCTCCTAAAACAAGCAACTGCCCAACACTAACCACAGACCTTACTCTGAGAACATACATAATAAAATGAAATAACACAAGAACAGTTAACAGTTCGGCCACAAAATGCAGAGCATGAGTGAGTGCCATTTCTTTACCCATCTTAAAGCATCCCAACTTGTTGACAGCATCTATTTAGAGACTCTCCCTTCTTTAGCTGACCTAATGGAAACCCAAGTCCCATAACTGGACCTTTCTGACACTCTCTTACTGAGCTACCTCATGGCCATCAATGTGCTCTCCTCTGTTACTCAACTCAGAGTTGTGTTCATGGTGGTCTTTGCTAAAGGACATTGATGATGTTATGAATATAGAAATCTACGATGGGAATAAAGCTTTGTCTTTGAGAATGTTTCATTTTCATAATAAAATAAAGACCACAGAAATGAATTATAAGGATGTCCAGAAAGACACAAACCATAGGAAACCTCATGTGTGGGATTGCCAAGGGGCTAGGATAGGAGAGTGGACTCAGGTTAGTGGGTTGACCACAATAACCCTGAAAGGCAGAGTTAGGGAAGGAGCGAGGGGATTAGGTGTAGAAGTGTGAAGGGCAGAAGAAACTTACGTTCTCTTCCTTTGTGGATTTTACCAGTATCAGCTCATGGAGCTGAAGATGGATTAGTCAGGACTCAGAGATATGAGTTCCTGGCCAGAGAGCTATGTAGTAAGATCTTGCATCAACTCCCAATGTGCCCTCCATCCAAAAACACAGTGGAGCAGCAAGTAACAGCAGGACCTATGAAACTCCAAACTCTGAGGGAAGGCACTGTACTTTTGGCCTCTTAATACTGCTGAAGATATATATGCACAGCAGCAAACAGAAACTTCTTAAATGAAGGAATAAGTTAGGAAAAATAATTGGTGACTGAATGAAAAAGAACATGTCTTGCTGGTCTCAAGGGACCCCACCCTCACTTGCAGGGAGCCATTTAGTCATCATTAATAAACTATGACAGAACAGAGTTATCATTTTCAATCATTTCCCCTCAAGTTTTGACATCATTAATAAACAGAGTTATCATTCTTACTCATAAAACCCGTAACCCAATTTTTGAGAATCTAGAGACATATGACAGTCTGTGCTCAGGCTGGTTGTTTTGGTTGCTTCACGGACACCAAGACAAAATGTTCAAGTCACCCTGGGCATTTTGCCATGTCTCAGGCAGTGTGTTATTAACTCTTAGTGGTCAGAGTGCCCAGGAAAAATCTTCAGACCCAAACTCTTGCAGTTATTATTCAAATTCTGACATAATACAATCAATGTTTATATTTATATCTTTATAGAATTGATCTATATGTCTAATCCTGGCATTCCATTGTTCCTTGGTCATATGACATTATAGTGGCTCTGCATGAGCTAACTTCTAAGAGAGGGAGGTCCTGACACCTCATACTTTTATCACCTTTCCACTCTGTACTTTGCTTATCAATATGTTTCTATGCGGGGCAGGGTTGTATGCCACATAATTGTCTGAGTGTACAGTGGGAAGAGGCTTGTAATCTGAGCTGTGGACAACTCCTCTAGCCTACCGGATCTTGTTGACCTTTTTGAATTTACTTTG